AGGCACAGAGAAGTTAAATAGCTTGTTCAAGATCACAGGGCTGGTAAAAGGTAGAAGAATGCATCTGAGTATGTGAAGTCTGACTTCACAGTCTGAATGGCTTAACCTCTGTGGCACAGATGCCCACATGGCATTGTACCTATACTTGCGTTAGTGACCTTTACCAGCCCTTTAAATATCATGTTTATCCTGGACACACTTCCTTTGTATCTCTGGCTCAGACTTCTACCCTGAGCTCCAGACTCATTTGTCTAACTACTTACAAGACATCTTCTCATGGACATGTCAAACTTCACTTTTCCAAAACTGAGTTTATGATCTACCTCTGTACCCCTATGCCCAAACCTGGTCTACCTCTATTTCCTCTTCTCAATAAATGGCATCAGGAATCATGCAATGTGGACATGTGTGTATATATACACATATATGTGTATATGCACACAGACATATATATATATATGCATACACACTCCTTTAAGAGATGGACTGCTTGGATTAGATAGTGGCATGCCATTTCTCCTGCCTTACTGTTGCCTTATCTAACCATTCCTTACTAAACTGTTACATGCCAAGGCAAGGATCATGAATGTTACCTAAGAAGGCCAGGACCAAAATTTAGTAAATAAAAGTTTTTCAATGTGTTCTTGCTAAATAAAAGAAAAAAAAAAAAGAAGGATATTTTTGTGTGTGAATCTTATTTCTTTTTACTCCAGGTGACTTTCTAAGAATATTTTTCCAAACTTCTCTAAGTGGTAATTTTTCTTTCCTCAAGGTTTTAGTCCCAGAAATTTTTATAATGAAACAACTCTATGTTTCATAAAAATCATTTTCATTTCTTTTCACTTTGGTGCTTGCACACTTGGATTTATGTGGCAAAGAATACTTAATAATAAGGAAAGACCTATCTAGAAATGGCAGTGTAATCATTCAGCAGTAGAGAAAAGCATGATGTATGGGCCATATAATTAGCAATCATCTGTTTCACATTTATTTCTCAGGGCTGAAGTTCAGAAGTAATTCAGTAATAAGTACTAGGTAATGCCTTCTCAATTCTTCCTTGAAAAACTGAATATAAATAATAAGCCTCATATACTACTTTTTCCCTTAAGTATGTAAAAAGGACATACACACACACACACACACACACACACACACACACACACACACAGAGAGAGAGAGAGAGAGAGACAGAGAGAGAGAGCGCAAGAGAGGGAGAACTCATATTCATTGCCATTCAAGAGAATTCAGGTAATATTTTTCTTCAGAAAATCAAAACAACTTTTAATAGCTTAAAATAAAATCTCAGTTCATTAGTAACTTAATTTTGCTTTACATGAAAGAAAGCCTCTTTGTTTTTGTTGCTTTATTTTCTTCTTTTTTTTTTTTGATTTCATGCAATTTTCTTATTTATTTATTTATTTTTATTGCATTTTAGGTTTTGGGGTACATGTGAAGAACATGCAAGATTGTACCTATGCTTTATTTTCTAAAATATAAAATTCTTTTAAGACTAATTTGTATAAACTGATAAGGCAATAATTCAGAGTCTAAGCATCTTAAATGCATTTGCAAAGCCATGGATTTTTTTAAACTTCAGAAGTTATCAGATATGATTCAAAAGGAAGTTAAAAGGTGAGGGTGTGCAATCAGCTCTGTCTGGGATAAACATTCATTTTGGCTCTGGGTGAATCACTTGTCACCTCTCTTTCTCCTCCTCTAAGAAACTGAAGGAAAACCACTTTCACAAGATCATGTGGGAATAAGATGGGGTAACATGTGAATGTGCTTTAACAGGCATCGCAGCCTATGAAAAATAAAAAAGTGAGATTGTTCTTGTTATTATTGAAATAATAAGTATTTTTTATCAGACTGAATAAATCAAAACAGCCATCCTTTAATGCAGGAAATGGTTGAGATCCCACATCAGAATTTTAGTTGATTCAGCGTGTGTTCAGATAATGAACTTAGCTTTTCTGCATATAGAAATGTGGTATTTGAATTGTTCCCTAAGTGGAGTATTTTAATGTATTTTTAACGTTTCCACACTTTCATGAGAGATCTTCAAATGATTATTTTCTCACTAGATTGTTTATTTTCTGTAAAACCTAGCAATCACAGTAAATCTATGGAGACAGTATGCTCTAAGCACTATATTCTGCTCTAAATCAATGTTTGTTTAATTCAGTGAATCAATCACATTTCCATATAGTGTCTTGTGTTGTGCAATTTTACTCTTTCTCTCTTAGGAAGATCTTATAGGAAAGCTAAGTGAATTTAAAGAATTTCCATTATCATGATTTAAATTTCCAACTTAGGAAGCCACAAAGCCTTCCCAGATCTGAAGTGTATTGTATCTTCATATAAAGAAAAATACCTATTTTTAGGAAAGATAGTCTTTCTTCTGCTTTATAACTTGGAAAACTGTGCTATGTATTGAAAAGCAAGCTTCATTTTCTAAAGCCCAACAAATGCTCAGCTGAAAAGCTGTGAGACCATCTCAGATCCCTAAGGCATCATGACATCCACAGGCATGAATGGCATGGGACTGATGATGTGTGTATGTGATGTTTCTGTATGTTCTGTACAGGCATCGCAGCCTGTGAGCTCATTCACATACCCCTGACTACTTTAATCTAAGCAGCTATGCCAGGAGGACTGACCATAATAGGTTACTGAACAGAGGAAAACAGTTTTTACAAAGAGACAAAACATTGGCCATCACATTTTCAGTTGTTACTCGTTTGTCCACTCCCTGTACAGGCACCTCATTGGCAGTAACCTGCAGTGTTCACTCTAAGAGCCACTTCATTGACAGTCACTTCACCTGGGCCAGGTCTAATTGTCCCCATTTCACTAATCATGTCCATGGATTAGGTAAATATTGGGTGTGTGGTCCCTCTGTGCCAAGCACTGTCCTAGGCCCAAAGGATTCAACTATGAATAACAGAAGTATTCCTTGTCCTCAGGAGGGTAATACTCAGGGCGCTCCTTGTCCCAAGATAGAAGATAAAACCCCATTTCGGCCTGAACTGCCAGAAAGTTAGATTTTTTGGAGCAATATTAGAGAGCGCCTCCCACTACTGATGGGCCCTAGCCTTCCTACCCCTGGGAAATTCAGCATCACACCAGCCTCTGAGAACATTGCAGTTGACACCAGTTTGATTTTGATAATATCTTGATGAGTTCATAAACGTATAATATTTATAACCCTTGAATATTTATACTTCAGGTCAAAAAGACTCTGAATGAAAGTATGATAAATGAATTACAACTTTACATCCATCTGCAATTTGAAAACAATTCTCCAGAGTGCAAGTTTACTCCAGTTAGAGGATAAAGTTGAGCTTCTATTTTTGTCAGTTATATAAAAACAACAACAGCAAAAATAAAAACCAACAAAAGATTGTTGGTTTTTCCCTTTCTCAATAGTATACTAGTATAAGGAAAGTTTATACTAGTGTAAGTATATAATATTTCCAATACTAGTATAAGGAAAGTTTAGCCACAAAGCACGAAGTTTTAACATATCTGTCAACATTCCTAAACTATAAAAACTTAAATGCCAGGCAGTCCAGAACAACCCTATATGAGAAAGATATGGGTAAGTAATTGGCCACTTTACTAATTTAAACTAGCTTGGCTCATATTTTCTCACTTTCCTTCTACAGCTGACCTCTTCTTGTGGAAAGTGACTTCCAAAGAGACATCTCCTAATTGGTTTTTCATGTCTCTTTGGCCAGAGGCATAGACCAAAATCTGTTGGATGGTTATCAGGGTGTGAAGTCCTAGTTTTACTTCCCTACGTCCTGGGTTGATAAAAAGCCCCGAAGGAGGGAAAGGCCTTGGGCCAAAGGACACAGCTCTTTGAAAAAGCTTTGCCAGTCACCCACCCAGATGGCAATCTCACATCTTTTGGCTCCCTTCATCTCCACCGCCACCAACTTTTGCTTTTGCCTGGATGACCGAGAACATTCCTTCTTCTCCGTTATAATTTTTTCTCCATGAAACAGCCACAATGATCTTTGAAAACTTAAATCAAAGTGGTTTCCCAGTGTTCCTAGAATAGAGTCCACTGCACACTCTGATTTCTGCTCACTTTCTCAGCCTCTTCTGATGGCACTCTTCCCTGCTTAACACACCTCAGCCGCTCTGCTCTCCTTTCTCTCCCTCGACATACCAGGCAGCTTTCCAGCTCAGGGCCTTTGCACCCAGAGCACTCATCCTGTGCTCTTTCCCCAGCCCTTGCTTCTCCTCTTTAGGTCTTAGCTCACATGTTACCTCCACAGAGAAGGCTTTCCTCGACCTCTTGAGCAAAGGAGTATGTAGCCACTGCCCCCCTCCCCCATAACTGTTTCTCTCATTACTTTATCTTCAGAACACTCATTGTGAGTTTATCCTTCCTTTTATTTACATTTATTTATTCATTTTTTGAGATGGAGTCTTGCTCTTGTTGCCCAGGCTAGGTGCAATGGCATGATCTCAGCTTACTGCAACCTCCGTCTCCCGGGTTCAAATGATTCTCCTGCCTTAGCCTCCCCAGTAGCTGGCATTGCAGGTGCCCGCCACCATGCCTTGCTAATTTTTGTATTTTAGTAAAGATGAGGTTTCACCATGTTGTCTAGGCTGGTCTTGAACTCCTGAGCTCAGATGATCTGCCTACCTCGGACTCCCAAAGTGCTGGGATTACAGGCATGAGCCACCACTACCGGCCTATCTTTCCTTTTAAACTTGTTTTTGCCTATCTTCTTTAACATTTTTGTAGAATGTAAATGTGATTTGTACCTCTCTTGTTTACAGCTGTGTCTCCCGCTGACGTGAATGCCATACACAATGGGATGTTTGTTGCATAAATACGTGCACTTGTAAGGGCCTGACCTATTGCTGAGGAATGCCCCAAATCATAAACTCTGTCCAGGTCCATGCATTCTAAGTTCCAACTCGATTTAAACTGTGGGAGCCTTGAATATACTTTTCAATTTAGTTTCTTTTTTCTGTTTCAGTCCTCTCTAATAAATAGTGACATTATCTTTGTGAAGTTGCATGCCCCATGGGAAGTCCTTGGAAGATATGCAGAACAAATGAATGTAAGAATGCCTTTCAGGTAGGTGGAAATGTATTTTACTCCACTCTCTCTGCTGCTTCACTATAAATCTAATGTTCTCCTTTCTCAGAGCAAATAAAACTGAAATGCAGATCGGAAGGCCATTAGAGGAGGGAATCTTTCAAATGTTTAGGATATGCAAATAAGTCTTTGGGGCCAATAATGATTTCATGGCTTTTTGTGAAAAATTCTGGCTAATTCCATTCTTAGCAGGTAGATATTTCCAGGGCCTGTAATAAAGAAGCATTTTCCAACTGGCATTTTAATTTCCAAAGTGCCATTTTTAGAAGTCCAATATACAGCTGCTTTGAGCAGCCAGACCTCAGGCAGCAGTTCACAGGGGCATACTTTCATGTTCCTTGCTGACCAGTCCCTTCCAGAAAAACATTAAAGCGTACTTCTGTAGATACAAGTGCAATAAATTTCATGATGATGCGATCTTCTTTCTTCTAAAAAAAAAAGAGAAAACCTATTTTTTAATTTAAAAAAGTTATAAATACTATGGAAACACAAATATTGATATTTGTTCCAAGGAGAATAGAAAACACTTTGTATTCCTTAGTTATTTAAAAGGATTAATTTACCTTCATTTCACAAGGAATATTTTTATTTTCCCCATGGATTATGGAAAAGTGATCTGCATTTGCTATACAGAAATATTAAACGTGAACTTACAAATGTCAAGATATGTGGGGATTTTATAATGGAATCTGCTGAAGAGGTGGATGGATGTAGTCCCGAGGACAATTCTGAAGGGACTCAAAGAATGATGTACTTTTGGTTTGCAATTTGCCAGTAAGACCACATTAGGTGACAGAAATTAGGCAAATTGGTACCAGCTCTACAGTCTATCTCTTAATGAACTGTGGAAAGTTGGGGAGACAAAGAACATTCATAGAGACAGACAGAAGGGTTAGGGACACGTTTAGAGGAGGGCAATTTCCATTCACAGCCTGTAATATATCTCCCTGGTGCATCTTAGCTGCTTTGTTTATTGGCCTGTGTGTCCTAATACCGAGTCAACATAGGGGCTGGGATTTCTAGCATCTGTTTTCTGGAGGCTAAATTCTCAAAACAGAATAAATATACTTCTGATTTTATGATTTATTTTTGTATTTAGCTGTTAAAAAGAAAATCTGAGAGCTCAAGGATTTAAAAAGGGAATACATATGTATATCCACTAGGGAGAGATAAGGAATATCAATTTAGATCCCATTGAAGATTTTTATACTATTATAATCAAAGCCAAGTATTTATCAATGATATAATAAGTGTCTTCTGTGAATTAATACCATATTGCATCTAAGAACAAAAGGAGAAAGAAAGAAAACCCTACAAAATATGTCCAGATAGAAATTTATACCCCCTCAGCATAAATAAATTTCATAAAACCTGCTGCCAGAACATACTTTTGTAACAACTCAGCGAGACTGTAGAAACTTGAGCATGTGAATGCAGAGCAAATGCTCTTACTACCTGCAAGGATTTTATATCTGAAGGGCCTCATGGATAGCGCTTCTGCATGCCTGCTACATAGCAGAAATGTGCTGCCTCCAAGCAGCATTAACACTTTTTTAATGCAGTGTTGAGCGACTGTGAACTAAGCAATGAAATGAAAATGAATGTGAACAATAATCTTCTTTTTGGCTATAGGAATTCCTGCAGGACCATTTTAGAAGAAAATATTGGAAGATGTGACACTAACTGACCTCATTAATGCTGTTATCACTTTACCTACTAAGCATGGCTTCATGTATTGCAACCTGATGAATTTAAAATTTTTGCTATTATTTTGTCCACAGCTTCAGACAAATTAGTCTAGGGAGATACATACATTTCCAAAGGAGGAATTCTCCCACTACATCATTTTAACAAAATGTACAAACATCACTTTGGCTGAATTTAAATACCCAAAGAATCTTACTTATATTCACAATTTTCTGTAGACTGTAACTTCTGAATCCCAAATTTAGTCTCCATGGATTTTTATCGCTATAATGTTTTAAAGAAGATACTGCAATATGTTTCTTATGAGAAATTATAGTAAAACTTGCTTCTTAAATACCTATATGTCCATGGATTTTTTTAAACTAATAGACTTTATAGAGAACTTTTTAGGTTCATAGAAAATTGAGAAGATAATAGAGTGTTCCAATATACCCCTTCTCCCCCAGCTTACAGTCACCTTATTATTAATATCTTGCATTGGTGAGATATATTTGTTAAAATTGGTGGACCAATATTGATACATTAACTAAAGTCCACAGTTTACTCTAGGATTGACTCTGTGTGTATGCAGTCCTATGGATTTTGACAAAAGCGTATCACGTATGTGCCATTGCAGCATCATACAGAATAGTTGCACTGCCCGAAAAGTCTCCTGTGCTTCACCTGCATTCCTTTTCCCCCTGACCTGTACCTCTGGCAACCACTGATCTTTTTATTATCTCTATAGTTTTGCCTATCAATATGTTTCAAAGCTTTAACAAATATGCAAAAAATGTTGTGGTATATAAACTTACCACTTACAGAAGTCAGGGAGTTCAGTAACAGTTGAGGATATAAATAAAAAGCATGCATTTTGTTATTACTTTATTTAGTTTCAGTTGAAGCCTGAAATATGGAAAGGGAGATTGCATTTTAATTAAAGAATCTAATACACACATTCTCCATTCAAACTACACCAAGAATTTTCATTTTTAACATTTTTAAAGGTAGATATATAGCAATCTGACAGAAAAAAAGTCTAATTTTTTAAATTTCCAGAACTCCTTGATTTTACCTGTTTAATTCACCTACAATCAGGGCCAGTGGTTAGCCAGTGTGCCCCAGGGTGGTTATATACAGCTGGGTGTTGATGCTGACAAGTGAGTGTCCTTCCCATATTGATTGTGAAATATATATATATGTATATTTATATTACTCCTTCTATATCATGAGAGAAGTGTCCTGTGTAAATTTAAAGTGCTATATAAGTATTAGTTAATATAATAGCATGCCCATTAAATTATGTATGTTGCTGTCTGATCCATCTTTGCATTTCCCTGGAAAAGAAAGCTGACCTCAGCTGAAGCTGTGCAAATACCAATCACTGCAAATTATCACACAGCACATGCTTTGTAAGCAAGGAGCAACCATTATAAAAAAATATATGGTAATGGGTAGCGGAAGAAATATCAATGAAAACTGTTTCATAAGACTTCATGCCTCAAAAACGCATGCCCTGTGTTCCCACTGCATTTCTCACTGTTAATCTCTTTTTAGTTTTTTCTTCTTCACCTCTTACAGGCTTCTATCTTCAATCTCCTTTCCTTCCTTGCTAGTTCAAACTGTAACTGACGATGGGTTTTCTTCTCGACTGGCTTCATTTTTGCTGTTCTTCCAGGAGAAAAATCTATTACCTGCCCCGCCGGTACAAGTTCATGAGCAGGTTAGTAGCACGCTCTGTCCCGATGGTGTTTGTCTTTCTGCTGGCCCGTGTGCTCCAACAATGACAAGGAGCTATAAGCTGGGGAGGGTGAGCCTGTGTCACATGGGAAAGCTGGCTGCCACGCACATTCTAAAAGCAGCTTGTTTCTGATTAGCCGGGAAAAACAAAAAACAAAGATGAAAACCGAGTCTTCCCTGTGACTTTTCCCCACTTGGGAGGATGCCGTTCATCTGCAAGTGTGCTGGGCTATTGCTTTTTAGCTCAATCTTTATTATTATTATTATTATTTCAATAGTTTTTGGGAAACAGGTGGATTTTGGTTACATGGATAAGTTCTTTAATGGTGATTTCTGAGATTTTGGTGCATCCGTCACCTGAACAGGATACTCTGTACCCAATGTGTAGTCTTTTATCCCTTACCCTCCTCTTTTTAGCCCATTCTATTAGATAAATTATCAGAAATTCCAACATCTTTGGCCTAGATGTTATTTTTTTCTCTTTCTTTATTTCTTTCTTTTTTCTTTTCTTTTTTCTTTTGACGGAGTCTTGCTGTGTCACCCAGGCTTGAGTACAGTGCTGCAATCTCGGCTAACTGCAATTTCTGCCTCCTGGGTTCAAGCAATTCTTCTGCCTCTGCCTCCTGAGTAGCTGGGATCACAGATGCCTACTGCCACGCCCAGCTAATTTTTCTATTTTAGTAGAGACAGGGTTTCACCATATTGGGCAGGCTGGTCTCAAACTCCTGACGTCAGGTGATCTGCCCGCCTCGGCCTCCCAGAGTGCTGAGATTACAGGGTGAGCCACCATGCGTGGCCAATGTTTTGTTTTTTTTTTTCTACAAAAATTCCTCCCTCCACTATGTGTAATTTGAAAGCTTGAAGTGCAGATAGCCATCCTCTAAAAAAGCTGCTGGCTACTTGATTTCATGAATGGGGTCCTCCTATGTTAGTAATATTTTGTTAATAACACATGCAGATGTATAACCTCACTCGGGTGCCAATGCTACCCTCTTTTCTGCCAAAGAAAAAAATCCCAGCTTGTTTTTTCTTGTTGTATTTTGAGGAGCTAGGGAGAAGGGGAATGCATCAATGATGATGTCCTGTAATTTGATTCTGTTGTGATCATTGGAGAATCTAATTTCAAAATCTTAATTGATCTTATGTTTTCATTCACCTTGAGCTGAACTGATGGTTAAACTGGGAAACTGGTAAATTCCTAAGAAAATCTTAGTTAGTTCAACTCTATGAAATTTAGTATTTCGGTCCCTCTGTTTAAATGCTATGTGGAGTGATAGATAAAAGAGTAGTTGATACATTGTGGTGGGTTTACTCAAATGCATATGCACTCAATAAAGTACACTGTGAGAACCGACCTCCAAAGAAATGAAAATGTTGTTTCTCAAAAGTTGCCTGTAAGCAAGTTATTGGCAGTTCTTTCATTAAGCAGTTGACATGGCATTTGGATTTAACATGATTTAGATTACTTCCTTGTCACATTATAATCATCTGTGAAATCCTGACACAACAGTTTAGCTTATATTAATGGTTCTCAAACTCCAGCCAGCATCAGAATCACCTGGAGGCCTTGTTAAAGCACAGATTTCTAGGCTGCAACCCCAGAGTTTCTTGTCCAGTAGTTCTGCAGTGGGGATGGAGAATTTCCACTTCTGATGGATTCCCAGCGGCAGCTAATGCTGCTGGTCATGGGACCATGTTTTGGAAACCATTGGTCTGTATGATAGACCAAGCTCCATCTTCCCATTAAGTTTAGGATTTGACTGACTATGGGAGGAGAAAACAAAAACCAAAATCAAAGAGAACCTGAAGGAAACACAGCAAGGTGAAGAGATGTTTCTCCCAACTTTGATGGCTAAGTGGAAATATCAAGTTTGTACATGTTGTTGTTTCAATCTGTTCAGTGAAATATATTCTAGATTCTAAAAATAATGTAGGCTGGGGAGAAGTCTTATTCTTGTCTGGACTTGCCAATTCAGCAAAGTCAGTATGTGTAAGACAGAGCACACTGGGATCATAAAACCTATGCTGGCACTTGATGACTTTGGGCAAGTTACTTCACTTATCTGAGCCTGAGTTTTTCATGTTTATAAAATGGTATTAATTTCTACCCTATATTGTTTATGTGCCTGGTATGTAGCTGATGTGCATAAATAGTATCTGTTAGTAATTGTTACATGTAATATTTAGAAGCATACCCTTATGCAAAGACATATATCTGCTAACATGTCTGCAAATACATAAGGGTATCCTTATATTCTTTCCTTCGTGCTTCTGATTTGTTATCCATCTCTAAGTCTCTCCTTTCTTCTGTCCTCTAGCAACTAGTCTACTAACTCTGTTCTGATTTTATCTGCCAAGTAGTCATTTTCTCCATTTATATTCTCTATATAGGCATTGGCTCTACTTCCCACACAGTCACCTAATTTAAAACCTAAGGGTCCAGGTGTGGTGGTATACACCTGTAGTCCCAGATACTTGAGAGTATGAGGCAGGAGGATCACTTAAGTCAAGGTGTTCAAGCCTAGCCTGGGCAACACAGTGACACCCCCATCTCTAAATGTGGAATTAAAATAAAATAAAAAACCTAAGGGTCATTTTGGATGTTTTACCTGCTCATCTAGTCAGTTTCTCAAATTCTGCAGGTGTAGATGAATATTTCTAAAAGTTCATATATTACCCTTCATTTCCACAGCCATTAACTTAGCTGAGCTCCCATCACCTCTTGCCTAAACATCAGTTTATCTTCCTGCCTCTTTTCTGACCCCTTCCAAACTCTCTTCATCTTTTAAGTAGCAAATCTGATTATTGTCACTTGGTGGCTACCATAGAGTGATCACAATAAGGTTAAAAGCCTTAGCTTAATTACAGCCCTCCATAAACTGTCCTCAGGCATCTCTTCCCTCCCACCACTCTTTGCTCCATCTGTATTGAACGACTTACTCATTGTTTCCAAACACATATTGTGCTCATGTGGGTTTATGTGCTTTTGCATATAGTGGTCCTTCTGGAAGATCCTTTCCTTTCTTTTTCACCAAGATGATGCTGCTCAGTCCTCAAAACTCAGTTCACATTTTTACCTTTTGCCCTAGTCAAATGACCTCTTTTATGCTTTTCCATTGGGATCCTATGGCCCCATCACCCTGCGCTATAATCTATGATGTAGGTGTGTAGCTCCCTACTTGGGTGGTATTTGAAGGCAAGGATGGCTCACTCAATTGTGTATTTCTAGCACCAAGCACATAGTATTCTGTATTTCCATTACCAAGCACACACATAGAATGAATGAACAAATGAATCTCTACATGCGTGTGTGAGGATTGGAGTAGGGAGAAAGGAAATCAAAAAGAAAAGAAGCATAGAAAAAACAGGTCTGCCTAAAGTATCAGACACAGCCTCTGATGAAAACATTTGCTCAAACAATGGGTGTGGGATGGATAATGAGGGCTTAAAAGAAAACAGTGATAAAAGGACCTATAGAATCTCAAAGTTTTATGGAATATTAAATGCCATCAAGTCCAACCAGTCATCAGTGTTAAACTTCCACTTTCTTGTCAGCCAGTCTATGTTTGAATATCTCTGGAGACAGTAAGCCTATCCCTAGCCTATCTGTGGGCAGCTGTGACTTTTACAAAGTTATTTCTTAAAATAAGCTATAATCTCTGTCTCTTTGGCTTTCACTCTTTGATTGGAGTTCTGCCCCCTGGATAGATAAAAAATAATATTCAGAGCAAAAAGGCAAAGCATGTGAGAAAGATTGTGAAATTATAGGCAAAAGGGCTTAGCATTTAGCAGCTATTTGGAAATTCAGAGTTGAAGAGAATGAAGTTCTGACACCTAAGAGCTAGGGAAAATATTGTTGGAGGTAAAAGAAGACTAGAAATCGAGAGGAGATACAGGTGTGGTGAGGAAGTTGATTTTTAAAAAATTAATTATGTATTATAACTTACAGTAGATTTTTGAGGTATTGGTGTCCTAAAGGCCTTTGAAACTGATGGCAAAGCAGTTGAAGAGAGTGGTAATGCTGGAGAATCCAGTGTGAGAGTGGGATTAATAATTGCCACAATCACCCTTTTAATCTCATCCTGGGAAGTTCCTGGTTAAGGTCAATAGCACAGAAACCATGACCTTAGCCAGGGGAGTGTGTGGAATTTCCCAGGATGAGATTAAAAAGGGTGATTGTGGCAATTATTTTGAAAATCTGCATTAATGGGATTGGGGAAGACCTGAGGAGAATTAAAAAGAACAATTAGAGAAGTAGAAGGAGGATGAAGAGAAAGTAGTGTCAAAGGCACCAAGAATGAGATTCTACAAGGAGGGCTGTGCTTTAGCTTCTGATGATCAATCATAGATGAGAATCAATTCTGGATATTCAGAAATTTAGGTAGTCTCTGTAACAGCAGTCTCCATGGAGTGGTGGTTCTCAAATGTGCATCAGGATCATTTGGAGAGCTTTCAAAAACATGGATCACTGGCCCATCCCCAGGGTTTCTGATTCAGTAGGTCTGTAGTGGGGCTTGATAATTTGCACTTCTATCAAGATTCTAAGTGACGCCTATGCTGATGTTACTGATGCTGGGCCACATGTTGAGAACCATCAGTACAGAGTAGAGGGTAATGGAGACCAAATTACAGCCAGTGGAGGAAGGACAAGGTCTGGATGAATCAGAGGCAATGAGGGTTCGCTGCTACCTTGATAAGTTTCATGGTAGAGGAAGGAGAAAGAGGGGACAGGATTTAAAACAAGAGCCAAGGGGAGGAAAGCAGAGGAGACTATGACCTTGTGACCCATCACATGTTCTCCATGTGTGCAGAGGAGAGGTTTTGAGTGAATAAGAGCTTGAGAAATCCTCCTTTCTAAAGTTGAAAGAACAGCTTGCAAAGCACTAGTCTTTGGCTTAAAAACATTGATGCTACTTCTAGTGCACAAATCACAACCACAGAAAAATTTAGGCATTGGAAGATACTAGAATACTCTGGGCCAAA